GATGGCCTCAACGCAGTACTCTAGCCTCTTATCCTCTAGTCCTAACTTCCTGGGCTGTGGACGCCTGGTCAGTATTCACTCTCTATCCCCTTCCCATTTGTTAGATGAGAAAATAGACCCTCAGGTGTTCAAGGTCACATGGAGAACCAGTAGAAAAGTCAGAACTAGAACTCAGGTTTCAAATCCTAGCCCAGAAGTATTGTGGCCTAGGGGTAAATCATTTCAATGACAGTGTTCAGATCCATTTATGAGCCACATCTCTCTGCATGACCAGAATAACTGAATGCTGCATGTTGTGCTTTTGGCAAAAAGCATAAAATGGCTTGGCTAATCAACCATTTAGTCAGAATGATTCTAAAATTATTTAATTGCCAGTAAGAAGTGATAACCATAATTCGTCTATTGTCAACACAAAATTAAAACATGCTTGATATTAATATGTAAAGGAAGATCAACATAAAATTGAAAGGTCCCAGGGGAGGAGGGCTTTAATATGAAAAAGAATAGGAAAAAAATGCAGATCTGTTTGGTTGAAAACTTTTACTAGGCTCATGGAGAGACCAAATCTCATTTAAAGGAAGTTGGAAAGAAAGAATTCTTGCTTAGCACATGGAATAAGATGAGTGTGACCTGAACTGTTTACAAATAGTAACTTTCTTGAACTTTAAAAATCAACATTCCTTATTTCCATGAATTTATGAATTTATAGTGACTACTGCCAAGAATATAAACTATGGTTGTGCAATCCTATAACTATTGGTAATTATTGTTCGTGCAATAGTTAGGATAAAGGAAAATTTACGTTGACCTTTGTGTTGACATCGATATTGCATGTGTAAGTTATAAAGTGTGGTGTCTTTGATAGGACTGTGCTGCTTAATTATTCAAGCAGGAAAAATAGTTAGATTATTTGTAAAGATAAAGGCATATAGTCATGCATTGTAGCCAAAAGAATGTTGACTCATCAAAATAAATGTTAACTTTGCTTAATAGGTCATTAGATATTGAATGTTTTAACTCTCGAAGACAACAGATCTTAGCTATTATCTTGTAGGCTCTGAATAAACATGACTTTTAATGTAAGTCACATGACTCCTCACTGTGTAGAGGTGAACAGCTGTCAGGCCTCAGATCCTCCTGCCTACTCTGCAAAACTGAGGCTACTTTTGATTGGAATAAAAGTGCACACACTGACTTTTTAAAATGTGGCTTTAATTAATGGTGGGTGGGCAGACTTTTTCAAGGAGATGCATGATGTCAGTGAATATGAACTTTAATGAGAGTAAATGTATTGAGATAAACATGCGTCTCTAATTCTCTTTTTGCGGTCATTAGACCCCCAGTCTCTACTCCCCCTTTGTATGAGCAGAAGGTCTGTGGAATCAAAATGAGAACAGGCTGCGCTCGTGTTTGGAGGCAGGCCTCCTGAGCTAATCCTCCGACTGGCCTGGCTCTTGAAAACCCCAACCTCCCAGAATGACAGCAACACCAGCTCATTTTTGTTTCTTCTTTGTGCTTTTCAATATTTCCCAAATTGTCCAATATGAACATCTACTCCTTTAAATGGTGGTAGTGGTCGGGAGAACCAATGCATTCCAAAAAAAAACCACTATTCCAAGATTGTTCTGTTTAGCCAATGTTACAAACAGGAATTCAACACTGCCATTCACAAAAGACCTTAATTTTCCCCCAATATTTGAGCAGTTTAATTCATTTATTATAGCAGCTGGTTAGAGCACCCTCATGTGTCTCTGTATGGTAATATCATTTTAGATCTTCTGTGCTGTTATATCACTTCGTTTCAATCAGAGCTTCAACAGAATTTATGATGTTTCTTTCTTTCATGTTTACTTGAAACTCATTCTTGATTGAGTCTAGTTTTCTACCTTGACATAGGACTATTAATAATTCCTAAATAGATAAATCTACCTGTTCAACACAAACATTCTATCGAGAAAGATATTTCACAGCTTCCCTCAGTAGTTCTTTTTACATCTAAAGAAGTCATACTATCAAACTTCTAAATTATATCTTAAGATATGTTTAGGTAAATTATAAGCAAAAGGTACATGGACGATATCCACCATTTGTTCCCTTTCAGGAGGTTAAAAATGACTTTTAAATGAGTCCACTCGTTCCTCTTGGTGAGATAATTGCAACTTCTTTCTTAAGAGAATCTGTATCAAAATCATCCATGTATGCAATCAAATACTGCCCCTAATCACTGGACATTTCTATAATAAGGAATTTCAAAACAATACTTTCCCCAGAAGGTAAAGCTTAGAACATGGGATTTGAAATAAGACACACCGTAGTTTTATTTGCAGTACCAGTGGCTTTGCTCACTGAATTTCAGGTTCTGTCATATGGAAAAGGGTGCTGTGGGAAGACAAATGTAAGGCAAATAGCAGAGAACCTGGCACATAGTAGGTGTTCAATAAAAATGAGTTTCTTTCCCTTTAGTGAAGTGACCTTTATTTGTAAGTCAGGTAATAGAGCTAGACATAAATTCAGTCTTAACTGTTACTTAGGATTCACTCTGATCACTCTATGTATCTATATACTCATCTTTGGTACAGTTTAACATACTAATAAAAACCAGACATATAATAATTTGCTAATGTATAAAATGCTGTCAAACGTTTTGTAATTTGATCTTCCAAAAACCCATATAGGAATAAAAAACAGTATTAGTATTTCTATTTTTCAGATGAGAAACTGGTCCTCAGAGGGATCAAGTGACTAACTCAGGGTCACACAATTATGAAGTGCCGGGCTTGGAGGAGCAAACCCAGTTGTCTTCACCTTTATGTCCTTATCTACCTTTCCATGTCGCCTCTGTTGAGAATTTCACACACACACACACACACACACACACACACACACACACACACACTATTTCTGTATTTAAAAAAGTAGCGGCAGCCACCACCCTTAGAAGGTAGTTTACCAATGGGCATCTTTATTTTACAAGTTTTCTAAAAAGAATAGGTATTATTTTTTAAACAACAGGAAAAATGTTTTTAATGTCAGGAACATAACTGCTAGTATTGAAAGCAGCCCAAAGCAACTTAAGTCTTTTTTGGTGGATTCACAAAATTTTAACTAATAGCACTGTAAGTTTGAGAACACTATTCTTATGTGCTGAACTAAATGTGTTTCAACAGATAATTTATTATGGAATTACTTTGGAAAAGCACTGTTTTTTTGGTACAAGACAAATCCCCTGAGCACAAGAAAGTAAATTTTAGTCAGGGAGACAAGTGAAATACAACTGTGAGACAAGGTCTATGCTAGGTAGTATATAGAAAAATTAGCCAAAGGGCCAGTTAGTTAAGGAGAGAAAGGTTTTGTCATAAAACAACTGGGTGTTTGAGCTGGAGATATTTTCTACTGAGATAGGAGAAATGCTTTCCATGATAAAGAGATTACAAGACCAAGAAACATACAGGAACAGAAAAAACATCAGAGTTGAGGAATGATGAGACTAAGGTCTATAATAGGGTGGTAAGAAGTAACAAAAGAAACTGAATTTATTTGGTAGCTGAAATTCAAGCTTTACTTGACATTTTATATGAGAGAAGTTCAGAGGGTGAAGGGATCCAGAGTTTCTGGTTCCACGCCCTGCCCAAACCAGCACCACTCAAGGTCAGTGCTGTGGAGCACTGGGGCGCCCAGACAAAGCAGATGCGTCTAAGTTCTGTCTACAGGAAATACCACCAGAGTCAACAGGAATGGATATTGTACAAAATGTAAACACAACCTTATAGGCAAGTAAACCCAGGGCCTAATGAAGGCCTCCAAGAATAGATCCTGTGATGCCATTTAAGATAAATAATAAATAGGTCTGAACCAAGAGAACTGGATAGGATTCAAAAGAAATCACTCTCAAAGAGCAAGGAATATCAATAGAAAAGAAAATGATAAAGCTGAAGGGAACTATGGGACCAGATTGCTTTAACCTCCTATTCATACTAACCCTCTCGTTTATAGTGTTCAGCGTCCTCATGAGGCACAACCTTCATTTAGTAAATATGTTTTCTGATTGGTCTCCTTAGTTTATCAAATTAAATGCATTTTGAAAAATTAGATCAGCTCTGCCAGCCTCACCTCTGTCTTCTTGGACCCAAAAGTAGTATGTGCCTGATACTGTAGATCTTTATATAGCATATGAATCAAAAACCAACCAGAATTAAAGTCCCAAAGCAGAGAATAACTCTTAACAAAATTGTTACAGTTCCATGTAAAGTTCTATTATTCATAGAAAAATGTCTTTTAGACTGGCCTCATTAGTCAACAAGAATTATTATACATATGGTTAGTCAACAGTAATGTTCTTGAATTCCACAAATATAAATTCCACACCTTATATTTCCTAGCTAAGCCCACCCGTAGTCACTGTTTTTAAAGAATGACAGTGCTCAAGAAATCACAATGTCTTATTTAAGTTAATAAAAGACTGCATAAGCAAATTA